GGATTGAAAATTTTAAACCAGTCCCAGTCCCAAAATCTTCTTATGGTAAATTTTTTAAAGGCGATTCCTATGTGATTCTTAAGGTAATTTTTCATGGTGACTTTTTTGCATTATAAAACTTGGCCTTTTGTATTTTGTTGTACTGAATAAGTCAGAACTGTAAAAGACATTTTTGGAGTTCAAGTAACATAAAACATTTTGTCATCCTGGGTTTCTCTGTTCATGTTGATTCATTTCAAAAATTATCATTTTAATGTTTTTACTTCTTTACTTTAATGATTTTTAGCTGCACCATGACGTAATTTGTTAGAAGCTACTTTATTTTCATATTCAGAATTTATAATATCAATCTCTGCCTGTATTGCTTCTCGTCAAATTTGCTTTTTGTTGTCTAAGAATTTTCGCCTGCAAGAATTATTTCAGTGACCTAACAGTCTTGGGTCAGGTTTATTTTAATGAAACTAATAATCTTCTTTCTGCAGACCACTGCCCTGAAAAGTGGTGTCTTGCATCATGATATTCATTATTGGCTTGGAAAAGATACTAGTCAAGTAAGTTTTTTTAACCTGATTTATCAATTTAGAATTTGCACATATTATTTTTTGATTTTGAAATGCTGCGCTATGTAGGATGAAGCTGGCACTGCAACCATCAAGACTATTGAATTAGACGCAGCTCTTGGGGGACGAGCTGTTCAATACCGTGAAGTACAAGGGCATGAAACAGCGAAGTTCCTTTCCCATTTTAAGCCGTGTATAATACCTCAAGAAGGTGGAATTGCTTCAGGCTTCAAGCATGTGGAGGCCGAAGAGCATAAAACCCGCTTGTATGTATGCAACGGAAAACATGTTGTTCGTGTGAAAGAGGTTAAGTTTAATGATCTTCTCACTCTTCCCAGTGATTGTTCATCATAAAAATCTTTTCACTAACAGCTTCTTATATCTTTGACAGGTGTCTTTTGCTCGATCTTCACTGAGTCATGATGACATCTTTATTCTTGATACCAAGTCTAAAATTTTTCAGTTCAACGGCTCCAACTCATGTATTCAAGAGAGGGCTAAAGCACTGGAAGTTGTTCAGTACATTAAAGATACATATCATGATGGAAAGTGTGAAGTAGCAGCCATTGGTAAGCATACTGCTAATTGAGTGATTAGATTTTAATCATAAATGATCATTGCATTATAGGTTCTTTCTTTCTACTGTGCAGAGGATGGAAAGTTAATGGCTGATGCTGACACTGGTGAGTTTTGGGGTTTGTTTGGTGGTTTTGCTCCACTTCCAAGGAAAACAACTGATGAGCCTAGGAGCACCGACGATGTTCCTACTAAGCTTTTCTGGTAATTAATTTGTGTCATTCACATTGCTTTCTCTGATCTCTTCCTTACGTAGTTGATTTGTTATCCTTTTCATGCTTTATTGCAATTAAAGACTCAAATTGAGATATTAGAATTTGATTCTCTGTCAATAGATTTTTCGAGACGTCCTGCACTGAATAAGATTGATTTTATGGGATTGTAATGCAATAATATTAACATTACAACCAACACACAAGCTAAATATGTTGAGATATTTATTCCACTTTTCTTTATTCTCTTTGAATGTTATTTGGTCTCAGCACAGATGTTCCAGAAGTGCACATAACTATAACATTTGTATTCTGTCTTGGATTGGTATATAGATATTTTCTGTAACTCTACACAGTGCATATACATCTTCACTGATATCCCAAGTCCTTAAGAAAGAGTTGAAGGAAATTTCCTGATTTATACAACAATATATGCAATACAATTTCCATTAATTAATCTGAATGAGGAATAATAAAATTAATACATGTCAGTTTTAACAACCCGTGTTTTCTTTTCAAGTGTTGAGAAGGGACAGGCTGAACCTGTTGAAGCTGAATCTTTGACAAGGGAGTTGCTAGACACTAATAGATGCTATATTCTTGACTGCGGGACAGAAGTCTTTGTTTGGATGGGGAGAAATACTTCTCTCGAGGAAAGGAAAGCTGCCAGTGGCACTGTTAATGTAATTCTAGTTGCTTTGGTCGCTTGAGGTTTTTAATCTTGATTTCGGTCCATATTCTTCTTCACTGTCTTACACTGACCTCCACCATATAGGAATTACTGCACACCCTTGATAAACCCAAATCTCATGTAGTCCAAGTAATTGAGGGGTTTGAGACAGTAATGTTCCGCTCGAAGTTTGACAATTGGCCACAGTCAACAAATGTAACAGTATCTGAGGATGGTAGAGGAAAGGTTGCTGGTTAGTAATTCATATGGCAGAACAATGCTGCTCATTTTTAAATTCAATTCATAGGCAGTATATGTATTTTTTTCTTCGAAAATTTTCTGTATTTTGACAATTATCCCGAAATTTCTCTTCTCATCTCTATGAATTCTCATCACTGTATTTCACTTGATGCTTTCCAGCACTTCTAAAGAGGCAAGGGGTTAATGTGAAGGGTCTTCTGAAAGCGGAATCTCCCAAGGAGGTACCTCAGCCACATATAGATTGCACAGGAAATCTACAGGTGCGGGGCACATATCTGCTACCAATCCAGAAATGAATCTGGTGCTACATATTGCATGTCGAGTAGATGGCTTCTTTATGATTTCTCACTTAATCTTAGTTGTATTAAGACATATATTTTAGTAACAAAAAGCACGGTGACGTATGATAACATATCTTTAGGAGGAGGTAGCATAAGTTGAAAATAAATTTCAAAGTAAAAAGGAAAAAAGAGAAGGAAATTTTCTGGTGCTTGTCGTACCATTCACCAAAGGCTATCTTGTATAATTTACTCCATCCTTTCAAGCAATTGTGCTTAGATGTGCCTAAAGTTACAAGCTCAGTAGTCTTCACCTAGAAGCAGCTGTCGTCTCTGAGGAAAGCTGCCTTATACATGTAAAGAATGAGATCAAGCATATGCGAGTTGGTACTATTTTGAAAAAATGTTCACGAAGAAATTCAGGAAACTTAGCAAGGGTTTTCACGAGGCAAAAAGGGTGTTCCAGAAAGCATTTGAGATGACGTGGAATATAAAGCAAGGGGGTATAGTAGGAGAAGAGGTTGGGTACTAATCTTTCAAACTGGCGAGTAAGGGGACTGGGGAGTGTGATCCAGTAGTTATAAGCTTCCAAGCCTAACTTTAACTTAGCAATGCAGGCTGCAAGTAACTACAATCCACGCATGCTTTCAGAACTGAAGCCCTTGATGGCTAGTATATCTAGCTGAGTGACTTCACAAAACTAGTCTTCTATAGGAAGTAGACTTCTCCAGGTTTCATATTCACAGCACGGGCTATCCTGAGAGGGGTTCTTGTCTTTGATACTGGTTGTTATAATTACATTGGGAAACTGGCATGAAACAGGAAAGTGCCAAAATGATGATAATCTCACAACCCTAGCCTTTAACTCAGGGCCTTTCCAATTTCTTTATGAAATGTTTAACATTTAGAATGATTTGAAATCTCGTGCTTTTGTGCTAGAGTACAGATCTGTCAAATTGTATTTAGACATGTCTGAATCACTATTTGAGTCAATAAGCTTCTTTCTTCAGCCAGGAAATTGTCTGGTCCCAATTTCTTCTGTTTCTCAATAATTTATCCTTTACCTTGTATTAGAATCTCTGGATTCTTTCTTAATTGATAAGTCATTTATCATCACTATTCTAGGTTTGGCGTGTGAATGGCCAAAAGAAGACTCTTCTTCCAGCTTCCGATCAGTCAAAGTTGTACGGTGGAGATTGCTATATATTTAACTATTCTTATCCCGGAGAAGAAAAAGAGGAACATTTAATTGGGACATGGTTTGGAAAGCAAAGTATTGAGGTGAAGTCTTCAGTGTTTTTTTTCCTTCCTATTTTTCTGTTTTGATTGGAGATTGCCTTAATTTCTTGTACTTGTGAGGAATTTCATCAGTCTTGACTATTGGAAAGAATTTTAGTACTACTTGAACACATTATTTAGCATCCCGTACCAAGTGTAGAAAAATTCTGACAAAAGATGACAAAATACTTTTTCATCATGAATTGTACTATTATGAAATAATATTAGATGAAGAATTATCCGAACCTGGAAATAGGTCTCAAATTGAAGATAAAGATGCCTGAGAGATTCCTCGGATTGACTTCGAAAGACTTGATTTTTTAGTTTAAATAAACTTCTACATAGTTGAAGATGTTTGAAACCAAGACGTGCATGAGAAAATTTACACGGCTCTTCATTCTAGCATACAAATTGAAAGTATTTACCATATCTTCTAATCCCAGTGATTGCACCTTTAAAATTATTTTCCTTGCGTACCTCCATTTCCTCCACTAAATAAAAGAGAACCAACAAGATGGAGATTTATAGAAGTAAATGAAGAATACATAAATTGCATTTATATTATAGTTTCTACAGGACTTTGGAACGTGGGATCTTCCTGTCTACCCTACAAATTCATCTATGTGTTGAAGTTAGTCTGATAAAACCATAGTTACCTCTCAGCAGTGGAAACTTCTTGTGAATTTTTTGAACAAACTATGCTAGCCAATTCCAGACTTGCAACTCTAAAGCCCAGTTGCATACTTGCATTACACAAGATACATAAATATCATCTATTTTCAATATTGATAGGGTTACAATCAGTTGTTTATTTATTTATTATATGCATATAACTTTCCTTGCTTGTCCTTCACTGCTCTTCTGGGGAAAATACAACAAACGAAATAACCTAAAAAATGATCTTCATTGAAAATTTATTTTTGGCATCATTAATTATGTAAATCATGCATTATAGGAAGAAAGAATCTCGGCGATTTCACAGGCAAGCAAGATGGTTGAGTCACTGAAGTTCTTACCTGCTCAGGCACATCAGCTATCTCAGTAACTTATGATTTGATTGTTAACTTCTGTATTCCAATTCTTATTGACAGTCTATTATTGTGGATATCTAGGCTCGCATATATGAAGGAAACGAACCGATCCAGTTCTTTACCATCTTTCAGAGCTTTATCGTCCTTAAGGTTGGGAAGGACTACGACTGCTTATAACATATTCAACAGACTTCGTTTACCTCTAATTTAGCATGCTTATATCTCTTATTCATATGACTGGCTTTTAATGTTAAATTTCTCCATATGTCACCAGGGTGGCCTTAGTGAAGGATACAAAAATTACATAGCAGAGAAAGAACTTCCGGATGACACATATACAGAGGATGGGCTTGCATTATTTCGATTACAGGGTACTGGCCCTGATAATATGCAAGCAATTCAAGTCGAACCTGTAAGTGCAATGTCAAATTATTTCATCTCCCTCTTATATGATGTGTGGCTGGTAGTTGGATCTGGGCAACTCAAACATATCTTTCTATTATCTTGCAAGTCTGGAGACATTTTCTGTGTTCGTTTGAGTTTTATCTGACTGGTGAACTCCACGATTCAGAAGAACTGTTACTATCTAGTTGTGTTTCAGTTGGAAATTTTACGTCAATTCCCTTTATTTCTATTTATCCGCGGAATCTTTTGTTGTTCAAGAGAATATTAGCAAATAAGGAAAAATAAAGAATATAACGCACAAATTAAACGGATCGTCAAAGCCTTTCACTATCTGAAAAATTATTATAATCATATAGAATTTCACTTACTAACCCAATCTCCAAGTATTACAAAGAAAAAATAAATCCGAACTTTACCACACCTACTTTTCTATCCTTTGTATGAAAAGTCTCAAGATGCTAGGCTCACAATATTTCTCTCAAATCAATTATCTGGCCACACCCTAAATAATAAAACACATTCACTATTTATAGGATCAAAAACCAAGTAGAAGAGTTTAATTTAAACTCAAACAAGACTTCTTTAACTGAACAAGGATTCCTTTATATGCAAGACTCTAAAATCGACTATAAATTGGAGACCAAATTCTGTATAGATTTGCTCTCAACTTTAATTAGAAGTCTTCTATAAAATAACTACCTTTTATTATTTGCAATAGAAGTCCTCCAGTTTTTGACTTTTGAGGCAATTACCAACAATCTTTACTTTGCTGAAAACGAGTCAAAATCTTGTTATCTCTTTTACAAATTTTAATCACAATACTTGAAAAAATAAGTAAGCCTTTGACACACTTTAACGGTCCCATACTCCACCATATGAGTATAATCACTCAGAATTATTCGTGAACTCCGAGCATTTCGCCGGCTACATGTCGAAAAACCCTACCGATAGTTATGATGCAACTCTCCCACTGACTTTCCTATAGAGCTTATCAGCCATCGACATCACACCACCACCACATACCTACACAATTTTGCATGAAATGTTAGTCAATGTTATGTGCTGATATGTTGACCGTGCCAGTAAGAACACATCCTCTATCATGGCAACTGGCAACATGCCATGAGGATGTTCTGATCTTATTTTACAGCACCACATTCGCGTCCTCTTCCGTCAGGAGAGACGCATTATTCAACCCCAAACAGTTAGCCGACCCTGCTCAACCTTTTGGACAATTTCTTTTCACATGGCCAGTTTGACTGCAGTTCCAACAAGTTACTTTCTTCCTTATGGAGTTGCAGTTGCCCTTCTTCCCCTTTTCAGTCACAAACACCACATTGTCAGATGGAGTATTCTGCCCCCCTAATCTTCTTTCTTTTGAGATTAAGCTGCTTGTTACTTCTGCGAAACTCACAATTTCCTTTCCATACATCAAGATTGGCTTGATATGTTCAAAGGTAGATGGAAGAGACCAGATGAGCCGTAGTGCCTTATCTTCATCATCTATCTTCACTTCAATAGACTCCAATTTCGAAATAATCCCGTTGAGAACACTCAGATGGTCTGAGATTTTCATACCTACCTCCATGCGCAATGAATGAAATTGCTCCTTCAGGTACAACCGATTTGAGAGGCTATTCATTTGATATAATTCTTTTAGCTTTTCCTATAGTTCCTTTGCGACAGATTTTCCATGAATATTTGCAAGAACGTTTTTAGCTAGACAAAGACGTATCATGCTTGCAGCCTTCAAATTCAATTCTTCCCAATCCTCATCGCTTATACTGGATTCAGCTTCCTTGCTAGAACTCTTGGTTGGTTTTCGTTTCAAAGCCTTGTGCAGTCCAGCTTGAATCAATAAGCCCCTAACTTGTACTTGCCACAAGCCAAAATTGATTCTCCCGTCAAATTTCTCTACGTCATATGTCAACGATAACATAATTTTCTATTGCTTCAGTACTCCGAACCACCTGATGCTCTGATACCACTTGTTAAGATTTTTACTCCAATTCCCTTTATTTCTATTTACCCGTAGGATCTTTTGTTGTTCAACAGAATATTGGCAAACAAGAAAAAATAAAGAATATAACGCACAAATTAAACGGACCGTCAAAACTTTTCACTATATGAAAAATTGTTACAATCATATAAAATTTCACTCACCAACCCAATCCCCAAGTATTACAAAGAAAAAATAACCCGAACTTTACCACACCTACTTTTCTACTCTTTGTATAAAAAGTCTCAAAATGCTAGGCTCACAATATTTTTCTCTGAGTGGTCACGCCCAAAATAATGAAATACATGCACTATTTATAGGATTAATAACCAAGTAAAAGAGTTTAATTTAAACTGAAACAAGACTCCTTTGACTTAACAAAGATTCCTTCATGTGTAAGACTCCAAAATTGACTGTAAATTGGAGACCAAATTTTGCAAGTATTTTGCTCTCAACTTTAATTAGAAGTCTTCCATACAATAACTACCTTTTATTTTTTGCAATAGAAGTCCTCCAACTTTTAACTTTTGAGGCAATTATCCAACAGTTTCCATTAGAAGATGCAAACGTGGATTCTAGTAGTATGATTTAAGGTTGTTTTACCTTCTTTAATTTGAAACGTGATAAATTCTTCTTTTAGGCATCAGGTTGGCTATTTTGTTGAGTTTAAATTAGTATCTGGTAATGGAGAATTGACATATTGAGGCACCTACTGTCAATTAGATAGAAAGACTAATTTACAGCTAGCAATTAGATAAAATGCTTTGTATATTAGTTGTAATTGGTAGAAAATTGCTCAGTTTCCATACATGTACAGTGATGGCTGACATTCGGTTGTGTAATTTGCCTTATTAGTCCTATACATACAAAGGAACCCTCACAATAAGGATTATTGAGTCAAAAGCGGAAATTGAATACCTTTGTCATGGTATCAGAGCTTCTAGAAGTTTAGATTAATTTCCAATCACCATTTTCTGCGGTAACCGGAAACTTGTTTGAGATCCTCACGTTCGGTCAGAATTTGTTCGTGAATTTCCAGGCCGAAGGATTCCTGGTCGGCACTCTCTGTAGCGACTGACTCTTGCTTGGGTCATCTCTAGTTGGTCGAACCTACCAGCGTCTTTAGCAGTGGCAAGTACGTGGCTTCTGGGTTTCGCATCTGTCGACGGGTCTAGTTGAGGAAGGATCTTCGATCACTTGAAAGGAATAACAGTAACCCCTATGTGTTGGGCTACTTAATCCATTGTTTAATTGGGCTGTTGATTGGGCCAATCCTATAGAGTTTATTTGGGCTTTAAGATTGGATTTTAACAATTAAACTTGGTCTCGGTTTATGATTTTGGTGGGCTGATTCTACTTTGGTTTTGCTGAATTTATTTTGGACTTGTTTCCGTTGGTACTTTGGTCTTGCTGAATTTTATATTAGGGCTTTTTTCTAGTATAATTAATTATGTGCATCATGTCAACCAACATGTCTGATTCTTTGTGTGCGCTTCACAGGTAAAAATTATTTTGTGTGGGAATTTCAATTTCGATTATTTGTCATGGGGAAAGAGTTATGGGTCACATTAATGGAAGTGACCCAGCTCCTATTGAGAATATCCAATTGGGTCAATGGAAAGTGAAAGATGCTAGGGTTATGACATGGATTTTAAGATCTGTTGATCATATGATTGTCCTAAATTTAAGTCCTTATAAGACTATTAAAGAGATGTGGGAGTATTTTTAAAAAAGGTTTACAATCAAGATCATACAGCCAGACGATTTCAATTGGAGTATGAAATTGCAAATTATACTTAGGCCAATCTCAACATTCAGGATTACTTCTCTGGGTTTCAAAGCTTATGGGGTGAATTTGTTGACATTATCTATGCTAAAGTACCAACCGAATCTCTTGCTGTTGTTCAGACTATTCACGAACAAAGCAAGCGAGATCAGTTTCTAATGAAGTTACGTCCGAAATATGAGGCAATTCGCTTAAATCTAATGAATCGTGATTCGTCCCCTTCTTTGGATGTCTGTTTTGGGTAGTTGCTTCGTGAAGAGCATCGTCTTACAACACAGGCCACTCTTCAACATCAACACATGACCTCAAATGCTGTTACTTATGCAGCTCATGGGAAAAACAAAGGGAGGGATATGAGGAAGGTCCAATGCTTCAGCTGCAAGGACTATGGGCATATTGCTACTCACCGTGCCAAAAGTACTGCAATTACGGCAAGAAGTCGGGATACATTATCAAGGATTGTCCTACTCGACCTCAAAATCGTCAGGCCAATGCATATCAGGCTACTGCCAGCCTATCGGCTTCTGAGACATCCTCTACCACTGCCTAATTTGCTCTTACTCCTGAAATAGTGCAACAAATGGTTGCATCATCTTTTTCTACTTTGAAAATGAAGGTAAATATAATATTTCGTCTCAATCTTGGCTAGTTGATTCAGGTGCCTCAAATCATATGACCAGTTCCTATGATGGATATTCGCCCATATCAAGGCTCATCTTATATTCAAACAACTAATGGGAGTCATTTATCTATTAATGCTATTGGAGGCATCAGGTTGGCTATTTTGTTGAGTTTAAATTAGTATCTGGTAATGGAGAATTGACATATTGAGGCACCTACTGTCAATTAGATAGAAAGACTAATTTACAGCTAGCAATTAGATAAAATGCTTTGTATATTAGTTGTAATTGGTAGAAAATTGCTCAGTTTCCATACATGTACAGTGATGGCTGACATTCGGTTGTGTAATTTGCCTTATTAGTCCTATACATACAAAGGAACCCTCACAATAAGGATTATTGAGTCAAAAGCGGAAATTGAATACCTTTGTCATGGTATCAGAGCTTCTAGAAGTTTAGATTAATTTCCAATCACCATCTTCTGCGGTAACCGGAAACTTGTTTGAGATCCTCACGTTCGGTCAGAATTTGTTCGTGAATTTCCAGGCCGAAGGATTCCTGGTCGGCACTCTCTGTAGCGACTGACTCTTGCTTGGGTCATCTCTAGTTGGTCGAACCTACCAGCGTCTTTAGCAGTGGCAAGTACGTGGCTTCTGGGTTTCGCATCTGTCGACGGGTCTAGTTGAGGAAGGATCTTCGATCACTTGAAAGGAATAACAGTAACCCCTATGTGTTGGGCTACTTAATCCATTGTTTAATTGGGCTGTTGATTGGGCCAATCCTATAGAGTTTATTTGGGCTCTAAGATTGGATTTTAACAATTAAACTTGGTCTCGGTTTATGATTTTGGTGGGCTGATTCTACTTTGGTTTTGCTGAATTTATTTTGGACTTGTTTCCGTTGGTACTTTGGTCTTGCTGAATTTTATATTAGGGCTTTTTTCTAGTATAATTAATTATGTGCATCATGTCAACCAACATGTCTGATTCTTTGTGTGCGCTTCACAGGTAAAAATTATTTTGTGTGGGAATTTCAATTTCGATTATTTGTCATGGGGAAAGAGTTATGGGTCACATTAATGGAAGTGACCCAGCTCCTATTGAGAATATCCAATTGGGTCAATGGAAAGTGAAAGATGCTAGGGTTATGACATGGATTTTAAGATCCGTTGATCATATGATTGTCCTAAATTTAAGTCCTTATAAGACTATTAAAGAGATGTGGGAGTATTTTTAAAAAAGGTTTACAATCAAGATCATACAGCCAGACGATTTCAATTGGAGTATGAAATTGCAAATTATACTTAGGCCAATCTCAACATTCAGGATTACTTCTCTGGGTTTCAAAGCTTATGGGGTGAATTTGTTGACATTATCTATGCTAAAGTACCAACCGAATCTCTTGCTGTTGTTCAGACTATTCACGAACAAAGCAAGCGAGATCAGTTTCTAATGAAGTTACGTCCGAAATATGAGGCAATTCGCTTAAATCTAATGAATCGTGATTCGTCCCCTTCTTTGGATGTCTGTTTTGGGTAGTTGCTTCGTGAAGAGCATCGTCTTACAACACAGGCCACTCTTCAACATCAACACATGACCTCAAATGCTGTTACTTATGCAGCTCATGGGAAAAACAAAGGGAGGGATATGAGGAAGGTCCAATGCTTCAGCTGCAAGGACTATGGGCATATTGCTACTCACCGTGCCAAAAGTACTGCAATTACGGCAAGAAGTCGGGATACATTATCAAGGATTGTCCTACTCGACCTCAAAATCGTCAGGCCAATGCATATCAGGCTACTGCCAGCCTATCGGCTTCTGAGACATCCTCTACCACTGCCTAATTTGCTCTTACTCCTGAAATAGTGCAACAAATGGTTGCATCATCTTTTTCTACTTTGAAAATGAAGGTAAATATAATATTTCGTCTCAATCTTGGCTAGTTGATTCAGGTGCCTCAAATCATATGACCAGTTCCTATGATGGATATTCGCCCATATCAAGGCTCATCTTATATTCAAACAACTAATGGGAGTCATTTATCTATTAATGCTATTGGTAACATTAATTCTGCTTTTCGAGACATTTTTATATCTCCTGGTTTATCTACAAATCTTATTTCAGTTGGTCAATTAGTTGATAATAATTATGATGTCCATTTTTCTCGTGATGGTGTTTTTGTACACGATCAGGTGTCGGGGAAGATACTAGCTGCTAAGGGGCATAAAATTGGATGATTGTTTCCATTATACTTTTCTATTCATAGTTGCTTATCTTTGGCCTATATAATCGTTAACAATAAAAGTGAAGTTTGGCACAAACGTTTGGGCAATCCAAACTTCACTATCCTGTCTTATTTGTTAAACTCTAGTTTGTTGGGTAATAAAAACAATTCTTCTCATAATTTGTGCTTTCATTGTTCTACATGCAAATTGGGAAAGAGTAAGACTCTTCCTTTTCCTTCTCACAGTGGTCGTGCCAAAAAGAGCTTGGAAATTGTGCATAGTAATGTTTGGAGCGTTTCGATTGTCACCTCTCGTGCCCAGTATAAGTATTTCCTAACTTTTATTGATGATTATAGTTGATACACATGGATCTATTTTCTCCGTTTTAAATCTGAAGTACTTTCAGTCTTCAAGACTTGTGTGGCATTTTGAGAACCAATTCTCTATATTAAAATTTTACGATTTGATTCAGGTGGAGAATGTCTCATGAGTTTCATGATTTCTTAAAACAGAAAAGGATTTTATCTCAACGATCATTCTCTTATACTCCTCAACAAAATGAGGTGGCAGAACGAAAGCATCGTCATCTACTGGATGTTGTTCGTACATTTTTACTTGATTCCCATGTTCCTTCAAAATTCTGGGTTGAAGCAGTGTCCACTATAGTTTATTTAATCAATAGATTGCCTCCCAAATTTTACTCTTTGACTCTCCATATTATCGCCTTCATAATCAAATTCCTGCTTACCATGAATTGCATACTTTTGGATGCATTTGTTTTGTTCGTTTATCTTCTCATGAATGATGCAAGCTTTCTGCACAATCTGGTAAGTGTGCTTTTATGAACTACCGTGTTTCGCACGACAAAGGTTATATTGCTATGATCCATGTTCTAATAGATTTTGTATTTCTCGTAATGTTGTTTTCTTTGAGCAACAACCTTTCTTTCATACTCATGCTCAACATTTGCTTGAAATTAGTATTCTCCCAAGTTTTGACGATTTGACTTCTTATTTTGAAAGATTTAAGCCCGTACTTGTGTATAAGAGACGTCGACCAAATAGGCCTCTTCCTGAAGTTGACCTCACATCTGATCTTGTCCAGCCCCTCTTTTCTGAGCCTAATTTGGTATCAGATACTGATGTACCTTCTGATCCGGGTCCTTGACGATCTACCCGTATTTCTCGACCGCCTGATAGATATGGTTCTTTTCATTCATTTCCCACTACGTTGACATCTATATCTCCTAGTTATTCAGAAGCAGCTAAACATGAATGTTGGTGGAAGGCTATGGATGAAGAACTTCGGGCACTTCAGGATAATCATACTTGGAATGTTGTTCCTTGTCCACCTAATGTCATGGCTATTGGTTGTAATTGGGTATATTTTATTAAGCTTCGTTCTGATGGAACTCTGGATCGTTATAAAGCTCTCCTAGTTGCTCTCGAAAATAAGCAGGAATATGGGGGTAGATTATGATGACACATTCGCTACAGTAGCCAAGATGACTACAGTGTGCACTGTTCTTTCTATTGCCGCCTCTCAGGAGTGGTCTCTTCACCAAATGAATGTCGAAAATGCTTTTCTTTTTGGTGATATCAAGGAAGACATTTATATGACACCTCCTCTGGATCTTTTTTCCTTTTCTTCACATGTAAGTTGAAGAAGTCTCTTTATAGGTTGAAACAAGCTCCTTGAGCATGGTTTAAGAAGTTTCGATCTACTTTGTTACAGCTTTCTTTTATCCAGAGCTAGTATAACTCCTCCCTATTCTTTTGCAAGACATTTACTGATATTGTTCTTTTACTTGTGTATGTGAATGATATTGTTATCACTGGCACGGATTCTGGGTTGATCACTCAACTCCAGCAGCATCTATAAGCTTCATTTCACATGAAAAATCTTGGTCCACTTACATATTTTTTGGGGTTGGAAGTACATACCGATTCCACAGGCTTATTTTTGAACCAATACAAATATATCCAAGAGTTGATCACTTTGGCTGGTCATTAAGATTATTCTTCTATCGATACTCCTCTAAGAGTCAATGTTAAATATCATCGTGATGAGGGTGAGCTCCTTTCTGATCCTACTATCTTTCGTCACTTAATTGGGAGCCTCAATTATTTGACCATCACTAAGCCTGATATATCATTTGCAGTCCAGCAAGTCAGTCAGTTTATGCAAACTCCACAACATCTTCATCTTGGGGCCGTTCATCGCATCATTCAGTATCTCCGAGGTACTCCCCTGTGGATTTTTTTTTCCTACTGACTCTCCTATTCGTCTTGTTGCATTTAGTGATGTGGATTGGGCTGGGTGCCCTGATACCCATCACTCTGTTATGCATTGGTGTATGTTTCTTAGTGATTCTTTGATCTTCTGGAAGAGTAAAAAGCAAGCACTTGTGTCTAAATTTGCAACTGAATCCGAATATCGTGCCGTGTCCGCTACCTGTTCTGAATTATTTGGCTTCATGGGCTTTTAGCTGAACTTGGCTTTCCTCAATCTAATCCTACACCCCTTCATGCAGACAACACGAGTGCTATTCAGATTGCTGCAAATCTAATATATCATGAGCGTACAAAGCATATCGAAGTGGATTGTCACTTGATTCGAGAGGCTTTTGACGCAAGTATTATTTCTCTTCCACATATTTCTACTGATCTTCAAATTGCCGACATGATGCTTTGTATATTAGTTGTAATTGGTAGAAAATTGCACAGTTTCCATACATGTACAGTGATGGCTGACATTCAGTCGTGTAATTGCTTTATTATTCCTATATATACAAAGGAACCTTCACAATGAGGATTATCGAGTCAGAAGCAGAAATTGAATACCTTTGTCACCTACGAGAATGACGTTAATTCACTTTCTGTACCTTGTCAAGTAAATTTAAATAATATTACACGTGGAGTTGTTGGGTTTTGGGCTAAAATGGATGTAGTGGAGTCTTTTATTTATTGTTTGTTAAACTATCATAATCATTGGCGAAACAACTTCTCTTTTTGGAAAGTCTAGGCTCCAGGGGATCCAATTAATGGATTCGGTTTTCTTTTCTGTTAATTCTTATCATTTAGGGTCTTAGAAAATCAATTCAGAATCTCTTTGTTGGAGTATGAGTACTAGGCGCTTAATAACTTAATAACTGATAAAATTGTTGAAGATATGGAAAAATTGTAAAGAATAATTTCTATTATATTTTCCCAATTACGTGGAATTTTACTTAATAGTTGAATGCATGATTATCATACAATCTTTCCTTTTAGAGTTATTTATAGCCCTATAAATAGGGTCTTCTACTTTATAATAAAAACACAAGTTTATCATATACAATTTATAATATTCTAACAAACATTATCAATATCAGTCTCTACTTTTTGCATGGAACACCATATCCTTTGTGATGCAGCTTTAGTGTCTTTTCTCTGTGCTGTTTAGTTTGCGTTCATGTCTAGGTGATGCCGATTGTAATGACAATAACAATATAGAAGAGAAGAGTTTAAGAACCTAAGAAATGAAGGGAGATAGTCGATTTATTCAATAATCAAAAGTGTCATTATTATAATCCAAGAACCTCAATTTATAGGTTCTAAATAACAATAAAAAGGAAAGTTGTAATAGAAGGAAAAAACTAGAGTTTCCTTTTGTTTAGAAGGAAACAAATTTATTATTCTACCAAAACAAGAAAATGCAATAATAAAATGCGATCTTTAATCGATTTGATTCCGCTTATGCCTAGAACACACTTTCCAATGTGCATCATTCCTCCCCAGCTAAAAAGAACTCGACTCCGGCGAGGTATAATCCAGATAAGCATCTAAAAGTGTGGCATCCAGTTGACGGTACTCAGCTTCATCAATCCAAGTAGCATCACTAGGCGGGCGACCTTTTCCAATGCACTAGAAACTGACGAAAACCACCATTCTGTGAAGCAACAAACTGATCATCAAGTACCTCATCAATAACATCATGCAAAGAAAATGTGGTAACAGCAGCTCGAGGGGGCGGCCGCGAAGACTGTCCTGCAAAAATGTTAGGCGACAATACCGGAGGCTCAAATGTGCCTTGATAAGGATATAAATCTGCTACATTGAAAACATGACTAATATTTAAGTGCGTTGGCAGCTCAAGTAGATAAGCATTAGTTCGAAGTCGTTTAATGATGGGAAAAGGCCCCAGTGATCTAGCACAAAGTTTCTTGGCTGCATGTTTAGGAAATCGTTCATGTGCAAGTCGGACCATGACTTAAATTCTTTATGCATACGGTGGGAATCGGCGGATAATTTATACTGATCATTACTTAAAGAAATTTTACGGTTAATCTCATCATGCAAGTCACGAATATGATCAGCAAAAGCTTGAACAGAGGCAGCGGGACGAAAATTGGGAGGCAAAGGGATAAGATCAAGCGGCTGGCGAGGAGAGAAACCCTGAACAACCTCAAAGGGACTACGACCGGTAGATCTATTAACAGAATTATTGTAAGCAAACTCAGCCGTGGGCAACACAAGATCCCAATTCCTTGGGACGAAAATTGGGAGGCAAAGGGATAAGATCAAGCGGCTGGCGAGAAGAGAAACCCTGAGCAACCTCAAAGGGACTACGACCGGTAGATCTATTAACAGAATTATTGTAAGCAAACTCAGCGGTGGGCAACACAAGATCCCAATTCCCTAGTTTATCCCCAACTAAACAACGAAGTAGATTACCCAAGCTATGATTTACAACTTCAGTTTGACCATCGGTTTGGGGTGAAATGCAGAAGAGAACTTAAGTGTCGTCCTAAACAGTTTCCACAGCGTCTTCCAGAAGTAGCTAACAAACTTAACATCATGATCAGACACAATAGAGATTGGAAGCCCATGGAGACAAACAATTTCTTTGAAGAACAACTTAGCGACATGGGACGCATCGGAAGACTTGGAGCATGGAATGAAGAGTGCCATCTTAGAGAACCTATCGATCACCACAAAAATGGAATCATGACCTCGTGTTGTTTTAGGTAACCCGAGAATGAAGTCCATACTAAGGTCACGCCAAGGAATATGAGGAACAGGAAGAGGAGTATACATCCCAGTGTTTTGACGTTGTACCTTACCCAATTGACATGTACGACACTGAGAGACAATGCGAGCAATGTATTTCTTAAGGGACGGCCAATAAAATCGATCCTCAATTAAGGCGACTGTTTTATCCCGATTGAAATGACCAGCAAGACCCCCTGCATGTAGTTCCCAAACTAAGAAGTCACTAAGTGAAGTACGGGGGATACATAACTTGGCACCTTTGAAAAGATAACCATCTTTAAGTAAGAAAGAAACATGGTCGCGAGAAGGATTATCTAAGAGGTCCTGAAAGATGGTGCCAAAGTCAGGACTAGTAGGATAATCGTCCTTCAAGCGCTCAAATCCGACTACAGTAGTGCTCATGGACTGAAGCATTGTAGTGAGACGACTAAGAGCGTCAACCGCTTTGTTTTCGATCCCGACGCGATGATGGAAAGCAAAAGTGTACTCTTGAAGAAATTCAACCCACTTAACATGTCGCTCACTTAAATGATGCTGGGAATTAAGAAAGCGAAGAGCCTGATGGTCAGAGTACAAAACAAACTCGCGAGGCAATAAGTAATATCGCCAATGACGAAGAGACTGGACAACAACATAAAACTCCTTATCATAGGTGGAATATTTTTGTCGAGCATGGTTTAATTTTTCGCTATAGTAAGCGGCAGGATGACCTTCCTGACTCAAGACACCTCCTATACCTAAATCGGAAGCATCGCACGCAACTTCAAAAACCTTAGAAAGATCTGGGTGTCATAAAACGGGAGCCTCAATCAATTTCTGCTTGATAGCTAAGAAAGCTCTCTGGGCCGAAGGGGTCCAACGAAAATCCCCTTTTTTCATACACTGAGTGAGAGGTTTAGTAATAGTGCTAAAACCTTTGATGAATCTTCGATAGAACGATGCTGGCCCATGAAAGCTACGAATTTCGGTTAAGGTGGAAAGTTTCGGCCAATCGCGAATAACCGAGATTTTAGCGGGATCAGCAGAAATACCCTAGGCAGAAATGATGAACCTTAAGAAGAGGACCTCAGGGAGGAGGAATGAACATTTTTTAGGGTTAGTATATAGCTGTGTAGAACGAAGAGTAACGTCTGCCAATAGCGTTTAGCAAATTTAACAAGTTTTATTTTAGCGAAACGAATACGCTGATAATCAGGCATTTGGTACCAATCAAAGTATTCTTCAATGGCATTGCCCCGATCAAGAAAGGCTTTGGGTTCCAGGCGACCATCAAATTTCAGGGCATCAATTTTAACTTTCCTAGTAACATCGTCAGCATAATCCCTACGTTGGTCTTAGCTTAGATGTGGGGGTGGATGTAGGAGATCAGGACGAGCGACATTATTGACAACTGGGTCACGAAGGTCCGGATAAGGAATGTGTTGTGTAGGACCAAGATTGTGTGGATTAGGTAGCATGCCATCGGGGGTGCGGAGGAGTGGTTCATGGATGTTTTGGCCACCTGTGGAAGAATTGAATAAATCATCCATAGGACGTTTACAGAGGTGTCGGGATGACTGTCCAGTTTGTTCAATGAGGTTTTGGATGAGAGTTTTAAACTCAGCTAGATCAGATTTTACTGACATTACGTCAAGGGAGAGATTAGTGACTTGCTGTGAGAGTGCATCATGAGATTGGTTGAGATCCTTTAGATTCATTATGTGCTAACCACGTGATTAGGTGAATGCCAAGAAATTCGTTCTATATATATATATATATATATAATTTTTATTTTTTATTTTTTTTTTCCAGTTTATGTTGATTTGTGTGTGAGATAGAAAGCCACCTAGACTATATGTAGCTGAATTGACAAGGAACTAAGACAGTACTGGGAAGCCAAAACTCAAATAAAAGTAAAGTTTCCAAAAGCAAATTTAAAACATACTGAGAGCAGTACGAACCAGTGCGGTTGGCGTCTAAAAATCTGGTAGTAGGCTTCAGCAACTGAGAGTAGTGGCAATAACACAGCGTTGATGGCCCCCCGGGGCACATCCAAGTTGGCGGAACAATCACATTGGGGGGCTCTGGAACCAAGCGTGGGGAGTTCGATTCCTGGAAGGCAAGATTTATCTTGGAAGACAAGATTTATCTTGGAAGGCAAGTTGCTGTAAGACAGTGAAGAGGCTCCCTTTGGGGAAGGAGTAAAAGTCGTGTGGGAACCTGGGAACCAACAAGGGCACATCCCGCGATTTACCTCCCTGAGCTGCTGAGGGGCCGGAGGTTCAGGGACGAGGATATAGTCTAGCGCAAGCTGGAACACCTCGTTAAAAAAAAAAATAACAGAGCGTTGATGGTAGCGGAGGTTTCAATTGACTGTTGCAGGTGATATAAGACGCCCAAAATGCAGTCGTGGACGAAACGGACGGTAGAGAAGAGAAGACAACACAGTGTTGACGACTGACCACGATAGGTAGACGGCTAGAAGGGTGGAAGAGGCAAGCAACGTGAGATGACAAGAAGACAAGGCACAGCGGTGAGTCGCCGATGCTGAAGCAATGAAGAAAAGTGAAGAAAAAGGCGGTGGTGTTGAAGATGGGGTTTGATTGTTGGGCGGAACAACTTGAGGTTGATTGCAGTGGTGGGGTTAGGTCGAGCAAGATGAGACCGGTGATTGATGATTGGCTGTCGGTGGTTGTCGCGTGATGGATCAGGGAAGTGACTTCTTCAATGGCTGGGATGGAGATCAAGAGGTCCATTTGGGCTTGGGGTGATGAGTTTCTGTGGGTTGTTATCGGGTTTTGATTAGCGAGAATTGGGCTGGTTTTTTTTATTTTTTTGGGCCACGTTGGGTTTATTGAAATTGGACCTAATAGGTATAGTTGGGTTTTCACGTGTATAGGTGATGGGTTGGTGTAGATGAATTCTTGTTGGATTGGGTTTTTGTGAAAATAATCTGAGGAAGGGCAACCTGAATATAAATATACGTGTGGCAGCTGCAATATTAAAGTTCTCCCAAACGGCAGGTGGCTACAGATATTATAGTGGAAATGCACTTGCTTTTGAGAAATACGAACACCAAGGATAGCAAACAAGGGAAATTAAGACAGTGAACAATTCTGCTGCTTTCTTTCTGTCGTTTTTTCTTTATTTTTTTGGGTGGAACTATAACAATTGGCTGAAAATCAAGGAAGGGAAGAGAACAAGCAGCCTGCTGTTGACCTTGAGGAGGGTTTTGAATGAAGGTATTGTAGTCTTAAGGGGCTGTCAAAAGTGGCGGGGCAGTGGTGGACAAGGGGGTGCAGAGGTTGGATATGGAAGGGTTGGTTGGCTATCGCGAGAAAACACTTCTACTTCACTGTCACGCGTGTAATGAAAACCTTTTGGCCAAGGAGAGTGTTTGGCTCTGATACCAAATTGATGCCGATTGTAATGACAAGAACAATATAGAAGAGAAGAGATTAAGAACCTAAGAAATGAAGGGAGATAGTCGATTTATTCAATAATCAAAAGTTCCTTATTACAATCCAAGAACCTCAATTTATAAGTTCTAAATAACAATAAAAAGGAAAATTGCAGTAAAAGGAAAAAACTAGAGTTTCCTTTTGTTTAGAAGGAAACAAATTTATTATTCTACCAAAACAAGAAAATGCAATAATAAAATCGATCTTTAATTGATTTGATTCCGATTACGCCTAGAATACACTTTCCAATGTGCATCACTGGGCTTTTAAGCTTGGTTGGAAGGAAAGTGACTTGATTAAGGAAGGAGGATATTCATGAAAGTCTGGCGGCTATTTCTTGTTGTAGGACGGGTATTTTACCCACTAATTTTATGGAGATGCCCCTGAGATCTGATTACACATTTGAGGAAGTATGGAATCTGTTACACTATAAAACACGACATTCAAGTCCAATGGTGGGGCCTAACTAGAATCCTATAAAAACAGAAAATATATTTTAGTGAAGAGATTTTTGATATTAATCTCAATGTCAACCCCAAACTAGGAGGGCCTGCCCAGCCCAACAATGACATGAGTTGGTTGACAGACTGCCAGGCCATGCAAGAAAAGTAAGGACCTGATCGACCAGAAAAAAGGCAGGCATTCAAAAGTCAGACCACACGATGGAACTCAATATAGGATCTAGATTCAGCAAGTCTAGCTTGCAAATCTTGCAAGAAATCAGCTCAGATGCTAAACTCTAAAGTGGACTTTATTGAAATCCATCTAGCAAGATTCTGCAACTGTTAACAACTTTTAGAAATACATTTCTAAGATCTAAACGTGTTTTGCCAAGCGCATATTAGCAATTATAATAGAGAGCTATTATTCCAATGATTCTTTTGATATGTTGACAGAAACTTGTTAATGATCATAACTATCAATTAACATTCAATATATTTCGACACTTACTTTACACTTAAAGGACTATTATTATTAGGGAAAATTTGCGTACTTTTTTTCTTAACTAAACACATCATTTCTTCCAAATAGAATTTAGTCCATAGACATTTCAGTAAACAGCAATTTAATCTCTTCTAATGGTTTATAACATATTAGCATCTCAAACCCTTGGCAAGCTGTCTGGAATCGTTGTTAGTTTAAAGCCTCAGTATTTTCTTTAAAAGTGTTAAATTTCCCCTCTGATTTGGTGCAATGCCTTTTAAGTTTTATATCTTCAAAACTCTGGTACTTATAATGCATGACATACAAGTAGTATTGTTTTAGTTTAACATATTCTGATATAATCTACTTTAGCCAGATGTGTTTGTGATTAAAGTTTATGCTAAATTTGCAAATGAAACAATTTGTCCATATACGATGAATTTTCTTGCCATGCCAAACGACTTCAATTAGATTAACAGAATATATTTATGATTCAAGTTATGCAATGATCAAATGAAACAATTGCCCCATGTATGATGAAGTTTATTGCCATGCCAACTACTTAAATTAGATTTCTGCCAAGCATTCCATCCATATAAATGTGAAGATTGAACCTGGGGATAAGTGGCACTTACCTCATTGCCCACTACATTCAGTTAGAATGATATTGAGTAAATCCAATTTTTATTTTTATTATATTTAATGAACTTCCTTCAATTTCACCCCCACTGATCGGAAAAAGTTTGATACATTGGAATTACATGTTTTAATATTATTTTTTCTTTCCAAAAATATTTCTAGCCCCTGTTTAGTTTAGATAAATATTAGATTTTGACTATATTTTGATAAAAGTTGATGGAATGTGTGATTTAAAAGTTGTGTGTCCCATGAAAAATTGTAAAACAATATAGTATCTTACATATTTGTAAATGGATCCTTTTTTTTCTTATCTAATAATTCTGTACATGATGAGTAACGACTCTGGATTTACCTGATGGAAAGAACTTTTATTTGCTTCCAACTTATTGAAAAAGGGAACGAACTTTTCTTTTTAGGCAACAGGTCATTTAACCATGACATGCGATTTGTTTCAGTTTAGTGATTGCTAGCATTCATCATTTTCGCCATTTGCCCATCTTCTATTCATCACTGTATGATATTCCACGAATTTATAGTTCTCCATCGTTTTACCCTGCTCTAATCCTCTATTTATACATCCAAGGGGATATGAATTCTTTATTAATTTGATTCAGGTGGCAACATCTTTGAATTCCTCCTACTGTTACATATTACATAGTGGCTCCTCTCTCTTCACTTGGTATGGAAACCTTACAACACCTGAAGACCAGGAACTCGTTGAGAGGCAACTGGATCTTATAAAGGTCTGCTACTGACTTATTTTTATGAGTATTTATTTTATTTCGTGGTAAGAGCTTACAGCATTTAGAACTTTCATCTTGTCGAAACCTATATTTACATTATCTTTGATAATCTGAACTTCTGATATTACCATACTTCAACTTTTTAGCATTTGTGCATCTTACAGTATACTATCAAATAATGAATAACCATTAAACACAGAAGATGTCTGAGATCTCCTTTTCTGGAAATTTAATATTTTATGCTGCTCAATATTTGTACTTTCAGCCAAATATGCAATCCAGACTACAAAAAGAAGGTGCAGAATCCGAGCAGTTCTGGGATTTGTTAGGTGGAAAATCGGAGTACCTGAGCCAGAAAATTTCAAGAGATGCTGAAACTGATCCTCATCTATTCTCTTGTACCTTCTTGAAGGGTATGAAAAATATCATCTTAATTCATTTCGCATTTTAATTATTAATTTGTACTTCTTTTTTGGATACTGCTAACTGGTTTTGTTTTTTCATTTTGTTATTCTATTGTGCCTGAATTTCACTTTTGTCTTCAGGAGATTTGAAGGTGTGTATTTTCCTTTCATCTTCTTATTCCCTAGAAAAATAACAGCAATACAATTTAGTGAAGACTTTCAGCATTGCACTTATCCTTTTTTTTGTTAATACCTAATAAAAAATATGGATACTAGAAAAAATGCATTGTTTTGCAATTTGATGTTTTTGGTATAGTCACTAACCAAGCTTAATTTCTTTTTTCCTATTAGATTGTGCTCTACAATGTTGAATATGATTATTTATTTCAGGTGACAGAGATATATAATTTCGACCAGGATGATCTAATGACTGAAGATATCTTCATTCTAGACTGCCATTCAGACATTTATGTTTGGGTTGGGCAACAGGTTGAATCCAAGGATAAGATGAATGCTTTGAGTATTGGAGAGGTATGTGTTGACTTGCTTTAGTTTTGGAAATATGTATTGCTACCTATGGACTTTGCAATGACATGTTGTGAAAATCACATGGGTTGTTTTCAAATTTATGTCTGAAAATTGAATTGGCAAAAATGAATGGCCATTATTTTCTGCACTCAATTCAGTAGAAATTTATAGATGAATTGAACTAGTTGGAAGTCACTACCGGAAATTCTACTCAGGTTGCATGTTCTTGGTGCTTAAGATGGTTAATCAGTTGCTCATGTGATCTTTTTACCCGTTATTCTTTCAACAGAAATTCCTGGAGCGCGATTTTCTTCTTGAGAATTTATCACTTCAAGCTCCAATATATATTGTTATGGAGGGGAGCGAGCCAACCTTTTTTACTCGGTTTTTCTCTTGGGACTCAACAAAATCTGCTGTAAGTGATTTCTCTATTTAATTTGATGAATTTCTTGGAACTGTTAAGATAATTACTTCATATGACTGCAGATGCATGGGAACTCCTTTCAAAAAAAACTTGCTATTGTTAAACAAGGGGGCACTTCGATGATGGATGTAAGTTTCTTTTCCTTCTTCCTTTCCTCCATATTCTCTTGAGACACAATCTGTATCTACATGTCATTCTCATTGATTTTGTTTTGCAATGCAACCGCAAGTGTCATATCTGCCATTTTGTGTTTAGTTTTGTATGATAAATAATATCTGACAACTGATCATTCAATGCGCTATCATTTTGCAGTATATAATTTCTGTAGAAAAATGTTAGGGCACGGTTATACAAGTGCCAGCGATGTCATAATATTTACAGCATCAGTTGCAAAGTTTTATATGTTTAAGTTACACATTTTGTTGTCAAATTTTCTTATTGTGCTTTATATATTAATTTTCTTTTGAAACTTTCAGAATTCTTTTTCTTTTAGTCAGTTCAGTAACTATTAGCACCTTTTACTACTATTCATTTTCTTAAATTGTACCCTGGTTATCTATGGATCAAGAGTCATTGTGGAATGGGAAGGATCTATAATGTTGGAATTCACGTATGAAAATAGTTCAATATGACTACGTTCTTAAGAAACAGTTGGGGACATAGCCGCTCGGTCAATTCTTTCCTCTAAACCGTAGAATGCATACATTTCATCAATAAATTTGACACAGAGTAAGGTGTCAAAATCATGGCCAGTTCGAAGTTCCAGAACCAGATGACTGATTTCTCATCAAAACTGAGGGTTTTAAAATTCTATAAAGTGTTCATTTGTCATATTCCAAATAGAGAATAAGATTGGCATTCACATAATAGATCTGGTACCAAAATTAGTGGCCGTTTGTCAGTTTATGCTTGGTTTATCTCCAATCAACCTTCTGCAAATTATACAATTTGTTCTTTTTCATAATTGGCTCCAGAGAGGAAGGGGAGGGAGAGAGAAGACCATGCTTTTAAGAGGAAATCTACTTCACTTAGTCCTGGTTAAGCTAAGTTGGTTCATATGTTAATTGTTAAATATATGTTTCTATCATACAAGAACGGCTACCTCATGGAATATTTTATAATCTGGTCATTTATAGTATCTCTATAGAATTTTGGGCTTCAAAATAATATTCTTCTTGAAAAAACTCCAAGATATATCATGTACAGCGATTCCAATTTTTCTACAGCTTATAGAAGCTTTGAACTTCATCATAATTTAACAATGAGAAAGTAGAAGTAAAAGAAGTAAATGTAGAATTCCAGGCTAAAATTATTTATTACTTCATTATCATATTCTGTATTTTTATAATAAAACGAAATGTGCTGAATTTTTTTTGGGCAATTAATTGGAATAATTTGGATTGACAAAATAAGGCAGGAAAATATGGCTTGCTACCGAAAAATGGAGATTTAATATTTAAGTTAAACAGTTTGACTGTATGTCTAGATGTGGCAATTGGGAACACGATCTATATTTTTTGTTATGCACAATGCTTATGTCGGAGCAATCAATGTTTTGAAGGGATCATTTATCAATACATGTCTTATTTTCTCTTATTCATCATATAACTGTCTGTCATACTGCACCATGTGTACGTTGGAGAAAGAGTTTCGATGTTATGAAGGGACAATTTATCAATACGTCTTAATTTTCTCTTTTTCATCAGATAAATGTCTTGTCTTATTGTCTTCTCTGTTATTAAATGCATGATACATGGTAGAAACCCAAAAGGAGAACTCCTGTATCATATGGCGGAAGGTCTGCTGCACCAGAAAAATCACAGCGTTCTAGAAGCATGTCTTTTAGCCCTGAAAGAGTTCGTGTGAGGGGCAGGTCTCCAGCGTTCAATGCTCTGGCCTCGACATTTGAGAATTCCAATGCAAGGAACCTGTCGACTCCTCCTCCAGTTATAAGTAAGCTTTATCCAAAATCTGTGACCACTGATTCAGCAAATTCGGCTTCTAGATCAACAGCTCTAGCAGCTTTAAGTGCAACTTTTGAAAAAAAGGCGCTGGCTCGGGACGTCAATCTACCACATTCTCCTAAAGGTGATGTTGCTCAAGGTCTTTCTCAATGGGTTGAAAACATGTAGTCACTCAATAGCAAAGTTCCATGTCACTACCCGCCAATTTTTTATTCCAAAGTGGTCTATGAATTTGTGCTTAATGTAGTTGCTCAATAGAAATCCATTAGTGTTTCTAATTTCATGTCAGACGTGGAAGATGGAAATTTTATGTGGCATCTACATGAGGTTTTCCACGTCATCCATACAATTGAAAATGTTAATGGATTTTGTAACTGACCAACCAACCTAAACGAAAATTGAACCTGAGCAACTACTTCAAACCAAAATAAAGTGACTAACGCGAAACTTCAGTATAAGTTGAGTGGGTTTATCCCCTTTTCTTGGTCAGTTAAGTAGCCCTCTTCAGGAATGTGTGTTGATTTTTTTTATTTATTTATTTTTTCCTTAAATACTGGTGAAGTGGCCCCTAAGGTACTGAAGCCAAACCCTGAAACCAACTTAGGGGAGAACTCAGAAGAACCACCCAAACTTAAGCCAGAGACTATACAAGAGGATGTCAAGGAGAGCGATGCTGAGGACAAGGAAGGACTCCCAATATACCCATATGAACAGTTAACAACATCGTCGACAAATCCTACCACGGGTATAGATGTGACCAAGCGAGAGGTATGTATGTGGAAAAGTATTGTTATAGCAAGATCATTATGAAATTGTTTCGACAAAGGTTTCGATAATCTTGTTTGCACAGGCTTATTTGTCCTCAGAAGAGTTCAAGGAGAAATTCGGGATGACGAAGGCTGCTTTCTACAAGTTGCCTAAATGGAAGCAGAATAAGCTTAAAATGTCCCTTCAATTGTTCTGAGTGCTTTCAGGACCATCTAATTCTTTCTCGGGTTCCTCCAGAATGGATTGCAGATTAGAGAAAGCATACTCAGATATTTGTACGTCTTTTCTCTCACTATATTTACAAATTTAGAGCATGTTTGGTTAAGCTTAAAAGTTGACTTATAAGTAACTAAGTCTTAAAATAAATTATTTCCTTATTGGTGAAGTTGGAGTTACTTATTTTGACTTGAGATAATGTTACCTTTAAAAAATGCTAATTTTTTTGCTTTAGAAAAAGTAAGTTATCCAAACTTGTTTGTAGATAAAATGTTGCTTAGAAGTAATTTTACTTTTTAGGCTTAATCAAACGTGTTAATTACTTCATTTTCACATCTTGATCCAAATACACTTTCGTACGCAGAAAAGAAACCAGTTTCTCAAGCTTTAAGGGATATCATCAGTGCATTTTTAGCTGCTTCTGCTCCCGGGTTGCTTATTTACATTACTCGGTGAACGAAAAGTTGGAGTTATCTTCTCTCTTGGCTAGTTAACTCTTGATACTTTTTTTGGTTGGAGGTTTGTTTTGAGCTTGCATTTTTGTTTGTATTGTGCTTCATTTATTTTTGGCGTTGACTTAGTAGAGTGATTAGGACTCTTGCAAATGCAGAATTTTTAGTTTGTACAGTGAGGATGGAAAGTGTGTATACGAATGTAAAGCCAGTCTACACATTATTCGACTAGCCAATAAAAGTGTGATTTTATTATTATTATTATTATTTTATTTTTTTTGTAATTTATCTTATACTATAATGTTTGATTACCTATCCTTGTTTACCTTGTACTATATAACTTCTTCAGGTCTGTAATGTGGTGTTGATGACGAAATAACATTCTAATTGGATTAGTTTTCCATGACTGTAGCAGGATTGTTGGCTTTCTGATATTGGATGCTTCTATAGAACCTTCCAGTCGAGCATCCACTTTGAATGTTAAAACAACTAATCTAGTGCTTGTTTGATAGGGATTTAGTTAATTGATTTTTTGACTGTTAAAAATAAAGTGGTTCTACTTGTGAGAGAAGAATTCAAAAATGACGACTGAAATAATGAAATAACGGTCAAAAAATTGATTTTAATTGGATTTTAAGCTGTACCAAACATGCTCCTAATTGTACAAAGCAAGTTCACAAAACAAGAAGAAATTATAGAATTTTGGCCCAAATATTATCATTAATCCATTTCTAGTTTTTAGTTTGTATCTCAATCCAAGTCCAATGTTCAATCATTCAACTTGTATTAAAGACACTACAATTATTAATTATTCCTTTCGTTACATTTGTTAAAAGTTAATATTTTTTGTCAATTTAGATATTCTATTTAATGCATATTTGACTAAAATTTAATCATACTCACTAAGTAAAATTTATGTTAGATAATTTATATTGATTAGATATAAAAATAAATTATTTATTTTAATAGTTAGAGATACTAAATATTTTTCTAATTTTAAAAGTAATTAATTAAAAAATATATATATTTTTTACACATGTTCTCATTTATTACTTATTCATACTTCTAAAAAAAATTACTTATTTTGACATAAAATAGATATTATGATCAAAATAAATAACTTATTATAGATTTGATATTGACAATAAAAAAGAATATTTGTTAAAAACTTATTTATTTATAAATTAACTTTTATATGAGTATATTCTAGAAACCGAGCAAAAAATGGACGTGACTTTTTTTTTTCACATTGAAATGTGGTGATATAGAAGATCGATGAACATACCAAATAACATATTGAGGCAATAACATATGGATTATAGTGATGTATAATTGATTGCATGTTTTGCTAAAGTTTTTAGTTGTTTGTAACGACCAGCTGTCAAAGTTATTAGAAGAGTATTCATTAAGTAATTTTTGAAATTTTCATTGGTGGATATGTATTTTTGCTTATTTCTATCATGATTCGACCAGTTTATGTTTTTTTAAGGTAAATGTCGATTTTCTATTTGGTAAAAAAAAAAAAATACAAAGATTTAGTGGAATATCTTAATGTAAGACATCTAATTTTTTTTTAAAATTTTTTTATGTTGTTGAGTGTTGTGTACTTTTTATTGCAAATGTCACGAGAATAACCTCTGAAATTCGATTTTTTGTGGCGTAAGTTCATTCAAAATTTTCTAAATTTCAGCTCATCTTAACATCATTTTCTGGTTCCGTCCCTGAGCTTGGAGAAATTCACAGAACTACTCATACCATGCGGAACATAGTGAGGTAAGAACATCATACGACAACTATTAGAGCAAAAATCACAAGAAAATTTTCTCAATTTTGGATGATTTTATAGAGGAGGAAGTTGTCATCTATAATATAATAAATGAAATGATTTTATTAAGAGTTGTACTTAATTTTTCTCCTAAATTATTAAGGTTATTCATTATTATTATTATTATTATTATTATTATTATTATTATTATTTTGGTTATAGGAAAATGATGGGCTAAGAGTGCGTTTGATTTGCTATTTTAAGGCCTTTTTCAGTTTTCAGAAACACTCAAAACGCGTTTCATACATTATTTTCAAAAATGCGTGTTCAAAAACAAAGAAAATTTTACAATACAAAACTCAAATGACTTTTTGACGTTTTTAGTGTTTTTAAGCACTCAAAAAACTCAAAACAAGGAAAATGAATTCAAACATTTCCTAAATTAAAACAATTAATAAAATCACACAAAAGTTGTCCAAATACAAATTCTCATCTCCCAATCTCCACCCCCCACCTCACCCCACCCCTACCCCCCCTCTCTCTCTCTTCACAAGCTCCTCCAAAACGTCATAAAACTATTTCTAAAGTTTTTAAACTAAACGTGTTTTTCAGTTTTTTGTTTTAAAAAATAGTTTTTGAGATGACAAATCAAACATGTTTTCTGCAATTTTAAAATAATTCCTCACAATAGAAAACTAAAAATAGAAATGCGAACCAAACGCAGCCTAAACATTTTTTGCAAGGTTATTGATGAAATATTGTGAATTTTTTAGTGCACAAAATTGTCCGTTTTTAATTTAAATTCTTGTTGGTTAATTGTTTATCATCCAATTATCTAGCAAACTTTAGGATTGTTTCTAGGACTGGTATTGTTACATAGACGTACTACGTGTTTTTAGCTCAAATAATAAAATCATTAAATTCTATTGAAAATATAGATATAACTTTATGCATTGTGCAATCTTAATTGAAATTTTAGTTTTATATTGTGTTTTTATTATTCGCAACTTTCAAATAAATATAAATGAATAGTAGATAAAAATTGGATTAATTTATCTCGAAAGAGAAAATTAGCATATAAGAAATATCAATTGTCGACATAAAATAAGAATTGATTAATCATGACTAATTGAGGATTAAAGTATGCTAAAATGGAGATTAGAGATTATAGCATCTCTTGCGACTGGAATAAATCCCAAGGTTTATTTGCTTATTTTTTTGTTGATAATTAGATTAATTAAAAATTAAACAACTATAATTTATTGTGTGTTTCAAATTTGGGCTAGTTTTAATTGAAGTTGATAAGTACATAATCAGTAATCATGAATTTGGTACTAAACTCATAAATTACTTGCATATGATACCATCCACTTGTAAGATAAAATCACAGCAGTATTAAATGTAACGTGAATAGAATTATTTGTTTAGGGTCCAAGGAGAAAGTGTTATCATTAAATTTCACCGTTTCTTACATGAAGTGAAATGTGCACTTATTATCCGGTATATAACTTGTCAATGTTAAGTCACGATCAATATCTTTACACATTATCTTAATTAATGGTATACTTTGTAGTCTGATTCACTCTCAAAAATGTTACCAAAAAAAAAAATGTATGTTAAAAGAGTAAAAAAAAAATCATAAGGTATAATCAATATACACTTTTGTCTCTCTAAAATGATAGAGCAAGAAATGTCAAAGGGGCTACACTTAGGGATGGAATGAGGAAGGCAAAATAAATAAATAAATAAAATTGCACTCAACTGATACTATAAAAAATTAAATGGGATTGGGACAGATTTGGGCCTCCCCTACTGCTCAACAATTGAATGGTGATTTTAGTAACTCTTCTGTCGGTGTAAGCCACAATTTTTACTAGTGAAACAGACTGTGAGCTAGTTGGGTAGGATTTCTACTTTTGCTTTTGTTTTATTTTATTTTTTATTTTTTAGAAGAACTTGTAAAAAAGGAAAAATTAACTCAAATACTAATAGTTCAATTTTATAAATCAGATTGTAATTACCATTATTTTCAAAATCAGATATGATCCCAGTACACAATGCCTCACCCCATTTCACCCCACCCCTACGTCTTAATTTTGACACTGCAATGGAGAGGGGGAGAGAAGAGAGAGAGAGAGAGAATTGAATTCTATTGAAATTTTAGCCCCTGTTTGATCTTCATTTTTGGGTAAAATGTATTATAAAATAATGATTTTTGAAGAACGTATGGTTAAAAAGTAAAAAAAAAAAAAATTTGAAATACGTGAAACATTCTTGAAAAAATGGGACTCAAACAAGGACTTGGTGAGAGTTCATTTTATTTGCCAATACATTTCCAGTCTCCTTCATTAGTCCGTCGATCTCCCCTTCACTCTTGGATTCTTCTCCTTCAACACCTCTGTTGACAAATTCCTCCCCAGTACTAAGAGCTATCAATAGATTGGATTTTGATCAGAATTCGATTCGAATCCGATGAAATCGATAGGAGATAGATTTGGGGTCTCAATTCGATTAAAATTTGAATCCAATAATACGTTAACTAAATGAAGCAAATATGAATATGGGTTAATCCGATCTGATAACAACTCAATTCGATTTGTTATAATAATAAACTATATTTTATATATTAACGTATAATTTACTACACATTTTTTTTTTAAACTTGTATTATATTTTACATAGAATTTTCAAATAATAAATAATACTAGTCTATGCTACGTGCGATGCACGAGTTGTGCATGAATTATAGTTTGGTAGCGTATGTATTGAATATGTTTGAAAATATATGGGAAGTTGGAATTATTGACGAGGAACTAACCAGTTATAAAAGTCAGTCACTCGTCTTTCTTCCACAAAATGTCATTTTTTACCAAAAGTTGCAGAATCAATAAAATCCATTAATAATAAGAATTCAAGTCATAGTTAGTCAAAAAAAAAATACTTCATTACAGTAAAAGCATTCCAAGCAAAAAAAGCTAGCACCATAGCAGTACATCTTTTGACAAATTATAATAGATATAAATGTATTATTGTACAGTAAAGAAATAATTCAAGGTAAAGCAAAAGTTAGAACCTGAAAATCCTAAAATTCTTCATCAACGACTATTTTTCTTAATGGAATGTTGAGTATTCCTTAAAACGCAGTTGTTCTACAACACTTAGGTGTTCATTCGTGATGAGGAATTTGAGCAGTGTAACTAAACTTCAAAGCACTGTATTGTTAAACGATGCTCTGATAGATATTTCATTAACTCAAACTCTGTAGAATTCAAAACTCCTTAACATCAGTCAATACTACATCTAGTTCTGTCCAATATTGAGATTCAATATTTTCGAAATCTAGAAGCTTATCCTCCATATGTATGCTTCTAATAATACCCGGATTTTTCTTGTCCAGGGGGAGTGAATATTGTAAAAATGAAACTCTCCTTCAAAGGAATCAGCTTCTTTTAGAAAATCAGTCTTTTATTACATAGAATATTCTAAGTTGAT